GGTGATGCTTCGGATTAGGATTCATAGGGTACTTGGAGGTTCATGGGTAGTTATAAGTAGGGTTATAATAAGGATAGCTATACTTATAACTCATATTGGGGACTTATAACCACACTTATAACTACCCATGAACCTCCAAGTAGGATTTCCTGATACACGTAAATGTCAGGGCTTTTTGGGCATGGTCCTTGTACTTGAAGGAATCGCTGCGATTTGCAGCGATTTGTTGGCGATTCCTTGCGCAGTAAATCGACGTCAGGTTCCAGGATTTGGGATGCCTTATGCTGTGGCAGAGGGATCGTCAGTGCATGCCGTGTTCCCTTGTTCAATATCCATTCTCCGCGTGTTTCTTAGCGCTGGGTTTAGGCACGAGGGAAGCTGGCAATTCCTTCGCGTCGGCTAGCCATGCCTTCCGCTTCGAGCAGAGCTGCTGGCGTGTGTGAGACACGTAAGAAGCACCTCCACTAACATTTGTCAAGCTTCTCTCCAGTTTCTTGTGAGTCTTTGAGTGGTCTGTTTTGAACCCTTTTGCAAAGGCTACCTCGCTACGGCAACCTGTGCCTTTTGCATTATCATCTTCTGGAATCTTTGCCATGTCCCGCATTGCCAGCAGTCAGACCACGTGGCAAGGACTCCTATGTCTTGCAAATCCCGCACCACGTGCCCATCACGGTGCAGTTGGACAAGAAGGTTTTTCTCGTCAAGGCCTACAATGGACGCAGCAGCAGCTATTCAATGACAATCCTTGGTGTGGAGGCTGCATGGGTGCATTGCCTTTACAAAGCCCAGCAGTGGAGCGATCAACCCCCCAGCCCTCCACTTCCTGCTCGTCGCCGTCTGAGCCGTGCTCCAAGTGTGTCCTCGGAGAGCAACGGAGGGGATCACAAGAATGATCATGATGATGATGCTTGTGCCAGGAATGGCAAGGCCAAGTGCAAGCGTCAGTAGATGGCAGATAGAAGTTTGCTTCAGCCATGTACGGAAAGGGGTCCGTGCTTGAAAACAAAAGAGGCCGTGATTCTTAATGCTTTTTCCGTGCTTGGAAAAATCATTCCGGGATTTGTTCTTCAGGTTGGGAGTTCTGGGCAGCAGTCGAGAGTCCGTTGTGTTGATTTCAACCGTCTGGTCGGCCTTGACTTCTGGCAACTTCGGGCGCAGTCGGGAGGGATGAACTAGTCGGCAGAACTGGAGAACTCTTCATGTGCATGTGCTCGCTGAACGGTCCGATGCTCACCTAGCTGTCCAATTAATTGCCGAGGTCGTCTTCCCACCGGTCCATCGTGACACTGTTGTGCCAAAGCATGCCGGGGACCCAACTTCTGAGTTTCCAGGCCTTGGCAGTACTGGCTGGGTGTTACGAAACTTAGAATGATTTTTGCAGAACTGGTAAAAATTATTGAGGTGATGCTTCGGATTAGGATTCATAGGGTACTTGGAGGTTCATGGGGAGTTATAAGTAGGGTTATAATAAGGATAGCTATACTTATAACTCATATTGGGGACTTATAACCACACTTATAACTACCCAAGAACCTCCAAGTAGGTTTTCCTGATACACGTAAATGTCAGGGCTTTTTGGGCATGGTCCTTGTACTTGAAGGAATCGCTGCGATTTGCAGCGATTTGTTGGCGATTCCTTGCGCAGCAAATCGAAGTCGGGTTCCAGGATTTGGGAGTTCTGGGCAGTAGGGGGCAACAGTCGAGAGTCCTTATGTGGTGATTTCAGAAGCTTGCAGGTCTTTTGAAACGCTCGCTTGCTTGCGTGGTCGGTCGACGCATGAGTTGCTGGGCTTCTGTCATGCTGGGACTGAGTTAAAAGAAGGCCTGGCACACAGGAACCTCACATGATTCCTTTAGCGGACTTTGGCATTGTAAGATCCAGTTCGATGTCCGGGATTCGAAGTTCCGCCCCTGGCAGACCCAGGTGCTGTTTTTTTGTCAGGCTTTGGCCTACAAGGCACTCCCTAATCCAAGACCTTTGAAGCGAAAAGCCGTCAAACATTGTCTGTCATCATCATCATCGTCATCATAATCATCATCAAAGCTTGGGGCTGAAAGTTTCCACGATCCTGAGGTTGGTCCCAAAGGCAAGCTACATGCCCCTTAGCACGCGGCATATGCAGGCTGGAGCTGGGTAATGGAGGGTGCGTTGTCAAACACTCTAAATTCAATCATGATTGCGAGAAGAGCTGAAGAGACTGGACTGTTTTGTAAAGAGCCAGACTTTCACGTGCCTTCGAGACTTAGAGAAGGAGGACAGCTGCTGATTCTGTGACCTTGCGACAGGAAGCCTAACATGGACGGCATACCGGTCTTTGCAGACTCAAAGCCGTTTTGTACGTAGATAGCGGTGGGACTCATAGCACGAAGACAATGGTCATGCTTCCGGTGCATTTGATGCCGTACGCGCTCCGGGACCAGATGTACACTGTGCCGCTGGCCATCATGTTCGCGACGTTCCTGGTGCAGCCGCAGGTCGAGGAGGAGAAGGAGGCCCTTGACGAGGACGAGCCTCAGAAGCCTCGTGGAAGGGGCAGACCCCGAAAAAACGAGGTGGTCACACGCAAGCCCGCCAAGGGCAAGTGGGACTCGCAGAACAAGTCTGCAGAAATGCAGATAAAGGCGATGCAGAAGCTTCCTTTGCACCTCATGATCTACCGTGCACCTTTCCAGCGCGTTGTCAAGGATGTCTTGCAGCAGGTTTGGCAGGACGCCGAAATACATACAAACGTGTTTGTTTTATACCCTGACTAACCTGAAGACTTGAAATCGCCAGAAGCTCCCGCTCCACAGCGCACTGCCTCAGGAGCGGCACCGACCACGCATCCCTGGTGCAAGCAGGCGTGAGAACAAGGACAGCGGAATGAAGTTCATGACATGATGCCGCTAATTGCCTCTATCCACGTAGCTTGCGCAGATTTAGGAAGCTTTCAAGATACCAAGGCCCAAAACTACGTACCGAATGCGCGATTATCGTTTGGAGGAGCTGGCGCGCGAGGGGTCGGCGAAGTTGCAGCCGGAACCTTGCGACCTGAAACTGACCCCGGCAGTGTTAGACTTGCTTCAGGAAGCCTCCGAGTTGCATTTGGTACAGATGATGGCACAAGGCCAGCTGTTATGCATTCATCGAGAGGCCAAGACCCTTGAGTTGCGAGATCTCCAGATCTTGAAGAAAATTCAAGATGTAAAGCCCGGACAGGTTTGCAGTCCTCAGCTCTCCAAAGAGCCTTCGGCTTGCAGTTCCGCGAAAGGTCCTAAACGGCCCGCAGAGTCTTCGTGCGCACGTTTCAAGAAGGTGCGCACCTTAAACTGACACGATGTTGGAGGCAGTAGACTCCGAGATCGGAATGCTCTGGGCTTTCGGCATTCGACCTTCTCGTGAGCGTGACCGGACAAGCGGCAAAGAATTGTGTTTTGGAGCCAGCTTAAGCTCAGCTTCAGCTGAAGAGTTGACCAGTTCGTCTGTAATCGTATTGCCCGTGCCTGGTAGCACTGCCCGCCTCGGGCACTGGACAGGTCTATGACGACTTCTACGTCTTTGATGCCTCTGTGGTTTAAGGTTCCGAAATGTGTAGGAGTAGGGGTAGAAGCATGCAGCCTGCTTTAAGGGTGGCAGAAATTTTTGACAATACTGAGCATGATTATTCGTCTGATCATTTTCTGAGAGACAGGACTTTTGACAACACTTAGCATGCTTATCTCAGTTCGAAGGACTCTTTCGGGCTACGTGCGTCAGATGGCGGTTGAAGAGTTGAAGGGCTCTTTCGGGTCAACTTCGTCAGATTGCTCGTTAGTGAGGGGGATCTTGGTCAATACTTAGCATTAGTATCTTGGGTTGAAAGGCGTTGCGGGCTAACTGCTTTTGCCATGTAGTAGCAGTAGTAGTAGTAGTAGTAGTAGTAGTAGTAGTAGTAGTAGTAGTAGTAGTAGTAGTAGTAGTAGTAGTAGTAGTAGTAGTAGTAGTATAGTAGTAGTAGTAGTAGGAGTAGTAGTAGTAGTAGTAGTAGTAGTAGTAGTAGTAGTAGTAGTAGTAGTAGTGGTAGTAGTGGTAGTAGTGGTAGCAGCAGTAGTGGTAGTAGTACAAGTAGTACTAGTAGTACTGGTAGTACTAGTAGTACTAGTAGTATTAGTAGTACTAGTAGTACTAGTAGTACTAGTAGTACTAATAGTGCTTGTAGCACTAGTAGTGCTAGCAATACTAGTAGTACTAGTAGTACTAGTCGTACTAGTAGTACCAGTAGTAGTAGTAGTAGTAGTAGTAGTAGTAGTAGTAGTAGTAGTAGTAGTAGTAGTAGTAGTAGTAGTAATCGTAGTACTAGCAGTAGTTGCAGGAAGTAGCAGTAGCAGTAGCAGTAGCAGTAGCAGTAGCAGTAGCAGTAGTAGTAGTGTAGTAGTAGTAGTAGTAGTAGTAGTAGTAGTAGTAGTAGCAGTAGTAGTAGTAGTAGTAGCAGTTGTTGTTGTTGCTGTTGTTGTTGGTGTTGGTGTTGCTGTTGCTGTTGCTGTTGTTGCGGTTGTTGCTGTTGTTGTTGTTCCAAGCCCGCCCGTGCTGGCTGCCGAAGTGGTGAAATTTCAACCTCCGCCCGTCGCCACACACCCCAACACTCACCAAAGATTTTTCCGAACCCGCCGAAAATCATTGAGGAGATTTCTAGGCGAAGGCCACTTTTCCACACGCCCCCACCAATGAATTTCCCGGTCCGTCAAAAAATCATTGAAGAGATTTGCAAGCGAGGGACAAGCCACGCCCCACGCCCGTGCTGGCTGCCGAATCCGTCATTTTTTCGCTTCTTGTTGTTACCCATGCATACCAACACTTGCCAATGATTTTTCCCGACCTGCCAAAAATCATTGAGGCAGTTTCAGTAGACCTGGGATTTGCCTGGCCGGTTTTTCTGAGATTCTTTGTTGCGTTCCGTTCCGTTCTCGTTCGCGTTCCGTTCCCGGGGTTGCGCGAGCACCGCCGCGCCCTGTGAACCCTAAAGCCTGAGACGCAGGTTCGGATGTTGCTGGACCAGCTCGAAGACGTAAGGCGCTTTACGCACGAGCTGGGCCCCTCCGTGCGAGAGCTTCAGGCGAAGATACCGGTATAGGGGCCTTAATATTTAGAATAGGGTTTGGGGTACATTATATTATAACTGTAACCATAATAAGGAACCCCAAAACCCTGTTCGAAATATTAAGGCCCCTACATTCGGCGGTTTAGGGTTTAGGGTTCAGGGGTTTAGGGTCTTAGGGGTTTAGGGGTTCAGGGTTTGGGGTTTAGGGGTTTAGGGGTTTAGGGTTTGGCGGTTTAGGGTTGGGGGTTCGGGTTTCACAGAGCTGGAGTCTGAATGCGTTTGGCCAACCCCGCAATAATTGTAATGATTTTTGGAAGGCTTGCAAAAATCATTTGGTCTTGTTTCAAAGGAAGGGCTTTGGGGCAATACGCCCAACCGGGCAGGTCTACGACGACTTCTATGTCTTCGATGTCTTAGGGTTCTGTGCAGGAGGACAGGACCCAAATCCTCCAAAAGGGGCAGGACCCAAACCCCTTGACGACGACGCCAAAAGAGGACAGGACCCTCATCCTCTGCGGGGCAGGACCCGACCCCAATGGCGACGAAGAGACCTCAGTTGGGAAGGACAGGACCCAAATCCTTCCAAGGGGCAGGACCCAAACCCCGGACGACGACTTGTTAAAAGGGGGCAGGACCCAAACCCCCGACGACGATTTGACGACGAGACCACATGCTCTCGTGCCGAGTGCTGTAGCATGTCAACCCTAAAAGTCTCGTTGAGTAGAGCAAACCCACCAGCTGTTTAAAGTCTTTCCAAAACCGCCCTGAACTTGAACTTCTCAAACAGTGGCAACTTCGTAGGGCGCAGCCAGGCTGAATGAGTTTTCCAAAGCTTGCAAAAATCATCGAACCCATTCTTGGGGACAGAGTCAGAGGGGAGAGAGGGGAGAGAGGGAGAGGGGAGAGAGGGGAGAGAGGGGAGAGAGGGGAGAGAAGGGAAAGGAGAGGGGAGGAGGGAGGAGAGGGGGGAGAGGGGAGAGAGGGGAGAGAGGGGAGAGAGGGGAGAGAGGGGAGAGAGGGGGGAGAGGGGAGGAGAGGGGAGAGAGGGGAGAGAGGGGAGAGAGGGGAGAGAGGGGAGAGAGGGGAGAGAGGGGAGAGAGGGGAGAGAGGGGAGAGACGGGGGGAGGGGGGAGAAGGGAGAGAGGGGAGAGAGGGGAGAGAGGTGAGACAGGGAGCAACTGATTTGCCGGAAAAGTAGTTTGGGAAGGCCAACTTGGTCAACTTCCTTGCCCAAAAACAGTTGTGCGTTTTTTGGGGGTGTCTATATAAGGAAATGGTTATTCCACTGTTACAGGAGCCCGGCCGTCCCCAACTTATAAGGACCCTAAACTATGGGAATTATGGTATATTCCTTATTACGGGTAATGCATTTATATCATCAACCGTAGTATTAGTATTAGCATTAGTATTAGTATACTATTAGGTTAGGGTTTAGGGGCGAGGAGATCAGCAAGTTACTCCTGACGCCATGGTCAGACACGTCTCATGGCATCATCTTTCTCAGCCGCAGCAAACTCAACGTGTGGAGCCAAGCAGAGGCAGACGCAGTCGTCACCGCGCAGGGACGCATCGCGTTCAACTGCTGCCTTGTGATGATAAAGCTCTTTGGGCAGATCGAGGCCACGGAATACCCAAAGCATCCACGTACCCAAATAGCATATATACTCAAGGCTTAAAGTAGTCTCTATATTGGTACTTTGGGGCCTAAGTATATACTATTTAGGTACATGGATCCTTTGGGATAGGTCTTGAAACCCAACCCCATCGGCCTCCCAAAACGATTCACTACGGCATGGTCTGGGCCTCGCAACCCTGTCGACGAAGAGATGCCCACAGGTTATGCCGTAACCCTAACCCCAATCCCGAAGCCTAAACTACCCTAAACCCCAAACCCGTCGCAGAAGTGTGGTTAGTTGCGATTCAGAGTGTCGGGCTCCGTGGCTGCAGGTTTAGGGGCATCAGGTGGTTGAATGTTCAACTTAGGGCTCCTTCAAGGGTTCCATAATCTAGTTTAGGTTTTAGGGTTTCAGCCGTAAACTCGTAAACCTTACCCTCCAAAATTCCCAAAGCCCATGAATGTGAGCTCGTGATTATTAAAGGTCCCCTCAATAGAGCTAAACTCGGCCCGGCACACAATAATAAAAGGCCCCCTCAATAGAGCTAAACTCGGCCTGCACGTAATAATAAAGACCCCTCAATAGTACTAAAACCCGTCCCGGTGTAATATTTTTAAGGTTTAGGTAAATAAGCACCCCTACTTCCGGCCGAAGAGCAAACCAGAATCCATGAGGCTTCTATATAGAAACCTAAAGCCTACAACCTTCAGGGATTCAGGCCAAAGCTCCAAACTCTGGTTTTGCACGGCTGCCAGATCTATAGGTTTCTTATATAAACCCCTTATAAAAAAACCCATCCCAGCAACTTTTCTAAGGGGTAGTATACGATAGCTGCCCACTCCACAATAATTCGGATGAAAAGGCCCCCTCAATAGTGCAGCGGCCTGCCGGGTGCCTCCAGAACAGCAAACCAGAATCCCTTGCTGTATTGAAAACCATAAGGCTTCTATGTAGAACCTCAAGTCTCCAGCCTTCAGGGATTCAGGCCAAAGCTCCAAACTCTGGTTTTGCACGGCTGCCACATCTATAGGTTTCTTATATAAACCCCTTATCAAAAAAGCCACCCCAGCAACTTTTCTAAGGGGTAGTATACGATAGCTGCCCACTCCACAATAATTCGGATGAAAAGGCCCCCTCAATAGTGCAGCGGCCTGCCGGGGGCCTCCAGAAAAGCAAACCAGAAAAGAATCCTTTGCTGTATTGAAAACCACAAGGCTTCTATATAGAAACCTCAAGTCTCTGAATATTCGTTCAAGTCACGAGAGGAGGAGGTCGAGAGTTCGCGAAAGAGGGCGCGAGCGGACAGAGCCCAGGGTGCTCCGGAAAGGCCTGTAAAACAAGAGTGTAATTACTACTACTACTACTACTACTACTACAACTACTACTACTACTACTACTACTACTACTACTACTACTACTACTGTACCACGGTACCACTGTACTACTGTACTGCTGTGCTACTGTACTGCTGTGCTACTGTACTACTGTACTACTGTACTACTGTACTACTGTACTATACGATTATACTATTGTGATACTGTACTAGTGTACTACTACTGAGAGCCCCAGCCCCCAAACAACTTCGACCCCGGCCCCCCAAACAACTTCGACCCCGGCGCGCAAACACGCCATTATTTTTACGCATTTTGGTTGTTTGGGGGGAGGGGGGGTTAATAATCAGGAGACCACATTAAACCTCACACGCCCGAGGCCTAAAACCTCAAAGCCTGCACCAAGAATCTCCGGAAATTTGACAACTTCCGGTTCGTTCTTCTTTTGCACACTTTTCTGTGCTTTTCCTGTCATTCCCACGCCTGGGCTTGAAAGGTGATTTCTTGAATCATGACAGCCGGCCTGCTGCGGAGCTCGGGCGGGTGCCAGTGGAGTTAAAGACAACCCTGACCTCCATGGGAACAGCTGAAGCCCTGCCTGTTTGCATCCTGACCTGTGCAGTCAGACTACTTTGGGCCACCCAAGCCTATTCCTTTTAGAGTTTAGGCTTTCGCGCTTTTCTTCTTTGGGGGAGAGCAGGGCAGGGCAGGCAGCCCCACCAAGGACCTCAGCGTCCAGATGTGTATATAATGGTTTTATTGGGGTACCAGTATTGGTCCCCGGAAAAACGTGTTCCGGTACCGGGTACGATGTGGGTCAGGAGAACATAATCCAAGTTGCGACAAGAATGTGGCAGTGTTTGTCCGACAATACCGGTGCGAGACAGCAACCGAGTGACCTGAGTGCCGGGCAGCCAATACGCCTCGATGGACTCCAGGTCTTCATGCGGGGAGGACCAGAGGTATAGGTGCAGAAAACTCGGAGACCGCAGCTCCAACTTTTCTTTTGCCGCCTCATTTCTTCAAGTGCCTGCCATGCGCTTTCAGAGCTCATCGCCATAGTACGATGCATTCGACACAACCTTGTCGCAATATACTCTCGCCTATGCGCTATTCCACGGCAAACCCTAAACCTTAGACCCTAGACCTTAGATCCTAAACCCTTAAACCCTAAACCCTAGAATTTTGAACCCTGAACTCCAAACCTGAGGCTCTGAAGGAAAAAGCAGAGGGGCGGTCTGAGAGTTTGGGGATTTAGGGTCTTTAGGGTTTAGGGATTTGGGATTTAGGGTTTGAGGTTGTAGACTTTAGGGATTTCGGGTTCAGGGATTTAGGTTAAGGGATTTCGGGTTTAGGGATTTAGGGTTTAGGAACTTAAGGTTTAGGGCTCAGGGCTGAAAGGATCTTTAACCTTTTTCGGCATCGCCGGCCCGAGGCATGTCCAGAGGTGGCATTGCGGGCGGCGCTGAACCAACCGGAGCGACTGGCCTTGAACCAGCAGCTACTTGATATAGGAGCTTAAATTAAATAGCTACCATAAATTGCCACTGCTATCTTGGGGATCCTTGTAAAATATCTTAGGTCCGGAAATCCCCAAGCCCTTTTCAATTTCTTTTGGCCACTGTATTATAGTCTCCAGAGGAGTCCCTGCTTGGGTTAACCAGTTCGATGGAGTTAGGATAGTAGGGAAGGAATTACAACTGACACAAATTAATAGGTAACCCGAATTCCTAAAATTTCACTTCAGCCCCAAACTAACCCGGTAAGTTCCTCGTGCAGCTGGTTTTGCAAGGGTTCGGTGAGGATGGGCCAGAAGCTAAGTTCCGCTTGAAGGGTTTAGGGGTTCAGGGCTCAGAGGTTTTAGGGTTTTGTAAAGAATTAAGGGCTTCGTGGATGACGTGCATATTGCTTGTCGGTAGTCTGCACGAGTCCTTCCTAAACCCTAAACCCAAACCCTAAACCCAGCGCTAGACCTAAGCCCAAACTTAAACCTAAACCCAAACTTAGACCTAAACCTTCACTTCGAAAGCCCACCGAGGAGACCCACAGCGTTGGTCCACGGCAGCTCGATGGCAATGTGTGGTTGCGGGTTGTAGGGTTTAGGGTTTAGGGAAATGAACCCGAAAAGGGTCTAAGGTTCATATACCATATGGGGATTTATAGTCAAAGGGTACATAGGACCCCTACTTATAAGGGTCGTTTGTCTCTCATGTTTTGATGGGTGATTGTATAAACACAAACCCTAAACTCTAAACCCCAACCCTCCCAGACTTTGGCACCTTCAACCGAGCAAGTCACAGAAAAAAACCCATAGGTTAAAGCCTAAAGCCTTGAACCTTAAGCCCTGAACCTTAAATCTCAAACCCCTAAGCCTTGAATGCTAAGCTGGACATGTCGGAAGACACCAAAATACACATCCCCCAAGGCTGCGTGTGCCTGTAAGAGCTCCTTTACGGGTTCCCCTAAGGGCTCTTTTAGGGGTTCCCTTAAGGGGCTCCTCGAAGGGTTCCCTTAAAATTAGATACTTAGACCTCAATGCGGCTCCTTTGTAGGTACTTTCAGGCCCAAGTGCATAGGTACATGGAGCCTTAGACCCTAATCCCTTACAGTGCCCTTACAGGACCCCGTAGAGGGACCCTCAAGAGAGCCCTTAAAGAACCCAACGGGAACCCTTATTGGAACCCTTAAGGAAGCCCTTAACGGAACCTTAAGGGGAGCCCTTAAAGGAGCCCTTAACTGCACATGGAACCAAACCCTAAACCCTTAAACCCGAAACCCTAAACCGTCTTGCCCGCTGCTTCGAGGACTCAGAGCTTGCACCATGAACTCCCACAAGTTCTACTACCCGAGAGACTATGCCCCTGCCGCAGAGAGGCGGGAGGGTACAAACATGCAAATAATCTAAAACACACATATGTATATGTGTGTTTATGCTTGCACCTGTATGTATGTATGTATGGATGTATGTGTATATATATATATATATATATAGATAGGTATGCGTGCATTCTTACCCCCCCCCGAAAGACCACCGGAAGCTTCCGAGCTTCTGTTCATTTGACTCATCAGAATCCATGTCAATGTAATATTCCCGGGAGCCCTGCCCGCAGTGCCTTTAACTTCTTTACCATACAACAAGCCGACCAGACACGAAGGCCTTTTCCGAATACAAATAATCATACTTGGTGTTGTTTAAACCCACACCATCCAAGCACGAATAATGATGCTAAGGACTGCCTACAATCACCGAACACAAATATTCACACAAAGCATGACCTGTGATGCTTTCGAGGCATTTCCACCCTTACGCCGCACCTCCGATGCTGATGACGATCACATTCATGGTGCGTATGTATATGGACCCTCTTAGTTACATATGTAGCTCACACCAGTGTAAGCATTCATTCGATGTTCAGTTGATACTCCATAAAGGTTGTGTAACTATGCTACAGGGGCTTTCTGCTTCTTACATGTACCCAAAGCTCAACAAAAAGACACGACAATGTGAATGTGTAGTGCAAATAATGACCACTTAGATATCATTAGCAATAGTCTAAACCTTACGATCGGCCAAGGTTTGTATTGACCATTCGGGCTGCAATGTACAACCCATAGGTTCAACCAACATGTTATGTGTTTGATACAGCACCATACTCTCTGGGTACTCTATTTCGTTGCAACACATTGTCAGGAGTGTGTGTGTGTGTGTGTGTGATACATAAAGAACATATGTATATGCTTTACAGGTAACGTAGAACTCTCGATACAACGATACCAGTCTAAATCTATATAGCGTTTATTTTCACGTGAGTGTATGTACGCGCATGTGTGATATACAAGCATGATATTGCAGCATACACCCGCCGAGTCTGTGCAGCAAGCACATGATGAAGTTCGGTAGAGATCATTCAATATGGCTTTACATGTTCGCATGAAAGCTCTTGGTCTACAGACTATATTGACGTTCAATGAATATGCTATGTAGGTACATGGACCCTTGGTACTGCATGCAAATCTGGATTATACGAGCATGTTCTCATGTCTGGTACCCCGCAAAAGCAAGGAGGCGTGTGATTGGCAAAGATTTTTTGTGAAAGTTGAAAGTATTCCGCGCAGTTCTCGACACAAGGTTAGACGTGAATTCACAAAAGTCTTCAAACCGCGTGGCAGCCGGCATGATGCACGGAACATAGCAACTCCGAGGTTGTCCGATGTGTTTCATAGTTGATATTGTCCTTACGTCGCAGCAACTGTACATGTTAGTAGACATGCTGTATGATACTGGGCTACACTGTAACATATGTGTATATTGTAGAATATAAAATGATGCATATGCATATAGATGCAAGAGGTTAAGGGAACAAGAGGCGTCGAGATGGGTTACAGGGCGGGGATACCATATGAATACACGCACACATGTATGTATATTGTATGAATCTCTCTCTCTCTCTCTCTCTCTGTCTCTCTCTCCCTCTATATATATATATGTATATATGGTTATACGTATATAATATATATATGTATCTGCACTTGTAGTTTTCTGTACGTATGTATGTATACATACGAAGTGTAAACTAAGCGCTAATGTGGATAAGGATATGTATGTGAGAATTATGTGTGTATGTTTGTATGTATGTATGTATGTATACATATACATATACATAAATGTATGCATGCGCACAACTGGTTGTATGAGTATGCCACTGTGAAATGCATACCTGCACGCTGGCATACATATTACATACACAGAATACACAGGCGCATACATACGTGACATGCATGCATGCATACATACTTCACATGCGCATGTACGTGCATTCGTAAATACATGCATACAATACATTACCTCGCATGCATGTTTCCCAGATGGGGCCGTATCGTGGGACTAAGCAAGAGGGGCATGCATAGGGCTATAAGGTATAAGTGCCCTGACTGATGCTATCCCATTGTTGCAACTTCTATAACGGTTACGAAAACCTATGAGCCGTTCAAGCACAAGCATGTTTAGGTACCAGTAAGCCATTCAGAGGCTAGGGTTTGGGACCTGAAAATGCTACTGTTATGGTATGCGGACCCTTAGGGGTAAATACGGCTTACTCTTTTTTTTTTTGGAATTTCAGGCTTTCGTCATGCAAATGCAAATGGCAGAGATATAGAATTCCAACCAGAACCCCTCTAGAACCAACCGACGACAGGGACCAGGGTATGCTGTTTAGGACTGTTTTTTTCCATGTGTTTCCTCCAACCCTAGACCCAAAACTGGCCCTAAACTGTGGGTTTAGGCTTGTTTTTCTACCCGAAGTCTGGAACCTTTCTCTCCTCGCCTACATTATAGAAGACCAGCAAGCCTCTGTCTTATCGGCTGCAAACTCAACTTTTCAACTTTTGGGGTTCTTATAAGGCAGCCGATTCTGAAAGTTTCGACTTTCATTTCCTTGGGTTTTGGGCCGGTGGCTGTTGGGGATGCCATGAAGGCGTTTGGGCTTCGGTTCTGGGCGTAGAGTTTAGGTTTTACAGGTTAGGAGAGTCGTCTTCGGGCTTCTGGATTTCAGGTGCAGCGCTGGGTTAGGTACGGCTTGCGGCCTGGGGTAAACCCATAAACCCAAAGGCCTTAAGCTATGTAAGCCCTATATAAACTCCTAAACCCTGAACCCTGAACCCTAAAACCCTAAGCCCAAATCCGAGCATCATACTCCATCTTCTGGTGTGTAAAGCCTATTTAAACTCCTAAACCCTGAACCCTAAACTAACCCTAAAACCCTAAGCCCAAATCCGAGCATCATACTCCATCTTCTGGTGTGTAAAGCCTATTTAAACTCCTAAACCCTGAACCCTAAACTAACCCTAAAACCCTAAGCCCAAATCCGAGCATCATACTCCATCTTCTGGCGTTCAATCCTAAGCCCTAAATCCTGAAACCCCTAAACCCTAAACCCTAATCCGAGGAGCCCTAAGTTTTCGAGAACGACCCCGCGTCTCTGGCCAGGGTGAGGTTCCTCGAGAAACCTGAGGGAGGCGTGAACGCAGAGAACATCACGAAGCAGCTGGAGGAGCTTTAGGGCTTTAGGGTTTAGGGTTTTAGGGTTGAAGGTTTAGGGTTTTGGGTTTCGGGGTTTAGGGTTTAAGGGTATTCCTTCAAAGGGGTCCATAATGTTACTATGAGGGTATCATAGGTCTCTTGGTGCTGGGGTTTTAGGGGTTGGGGAGTTTAGGGCCTAGTAAGCATGCACTCTCAAAAGTCTTCACCTACATAACTACTATCCAACAAACCGAGTATCTAATTATGTTGGGTCCTTTGGACCCTTGGGGTAAGGGTATCATAGGGATTTAGGGATTAAGGAACATCACGAAGCAGCTGGAGGAGTGTGGGTTGGTTGCAGGGTTCTTTAGCGGTTTCTAAGGCTGGTAGCGACACCCTAAACCTGAAACCGTAAACTGGTAGCGGTTCGGCAGGGTTTGCACTAAACCCCAACAAGAACCCCCCCGAAACCCTAAACCCCCAAACCCTAAACCCCTAAACAGAAACCCTAAACCCCTGAACCCCTCCTTCAGGTTCATGCTTCGTGATTTATTGCTCCAGGTCTGAGGATTGATTGCAACGTCCTTAACTCTGCGCTAAGGCTCGAAGGACTCATATCTTAAGGCATTTGCGCTTAAAGACAATACCAGGGTGATTCCGATAACACGATGAGGCTCTCTAGGGGCATTTGGGCCGAGAGGCCATACTGTTTAAGGCTTTCGGGCGATTTGGAGCCTTAGGGGGATGGTACTATATCCACTATAGTACAGAACTGAAGGTTTACATGCTTTTTTTTTTTAAACTCAGCAACTAAATTTGAGGACTGGGACCTTACCAGGAGCTCCAGACAGACACCGGGTCCTGACTTGGTCTAGGGTTGTTCAAGTAGTTAAGTTTTTTGGTGGGCAGGTGGACGAGAGGTAGGGGGGTGGGCAGGACACTGTAAATAGAGGGCAGCGTAAGGATCGCAAGTCAACATCAATATTCACGAGGCCCTTGTGAATAGAAACAAGTAAATTGGGTCAATGGTGTGTTGTCGACAAGCCTGAAGACCCCAGACCTTTAAACCATACACCCTGGGACCCTTACAGAGCCAACTAGAGCCATCACCCGAAATGGCTGGCGGTGCAGGTTCTGAAACGGTTCCCGGTTTGCAAGAGGGCTGCTGCAGGGTTTCCTTGGTTTTGGATGGTTCAGAGGGTGTCATCGGCTGCCCCCTAGGCCCCAAACCTTACTTCTCTTCCACACGGCAAACCCCACCCCCAAAACCCTAAACCCTAAACCTAGAATCCAGCAATGGTAAAATGCCCAAGGCTACAAAGCCTAAATAAGTCAACCGCCACTCAATCCTTCGAACCCTCTAACCCCATGGGTCGAAGTATCCAATAATCATATGCTCTCCAAAATCCTAACCTACATACCTACTACCTACTATCCTAAACCCGCGTACCTGAATATTAAGGCCCATATAATAGAACCCTTTTAGTAGCCCGTTTTAAAGGAACCTTATAGAACCCTTTAATGGAACCCCAACTATTGGGTCCTGTGGACCCTTGGGGTAAAAGGCCCCTGGGAACCCCGTCCCGAGAGCAGGTAGCAGAGCTTCAAGCTCAGTTGAGTAGGGACCCCCAAAAGCACATAAGCATAAGCATTATATGGGGATATCCCTACCCTATTGGGCTTCATTATAAGGGGGGTTTATATGGGATATCCCTATCCTAATTTTTGCTTATGTGCTTTTTTGGGGCCTTATTGAGGGTAAACCACATCCTCAAGGAGACGACTCGCAACCCCAAAGGGTCCAAGTATCATTATGGTCTATACTTAGACACCTAAAATACCCTATAAGTATACACCAGAATGATACTTGGACCCTTTGGGAACATGCAGACTATGTATGCCAAGCGTGTCGAAGAGCTCGGAGATATGAAGTCGCAGCTGTCAGACGTGGCGAAGGAGCTGGCGATCTCCCAGGCCAAAATGAGCTCCATGTACGACAGGGGCAAAGCGACAGAGCTTCGGTGGTACGTCCAGCTACAGGAACACAAGCAGCTCATGGAACAACAACAGGACGTGTTCAAGCAACAGAAGGCGAAAGTGATGGAGCAGTTCGCGACCAATGTGAGGCAGACGTCAGACCAGCAGTGGCACATCCAAGGCTTGCGAAGCCCCAAACCCGAGTCTAAGTTGGCTCTGCTGGCTCCGCGAATCTCTTTATAGGATCCTTAAGGAATGGTAGTTCAAGGGGGAGGGTACAAGGAATCCTAAGGGGGAACCTAAGGGAGTACTAGGGAGAAGTCGGGATCACTATGCGATTTTGCCCCCCTTACACCCCCCTCCCTTAAGGATACCATAATGTCTCTGGCAGGTAATGTTCCCAAAATCCAAGCACACAGGCTGGCGGGCCTATGGTGTAGGGATGTTTAGGTGTGGTGTTTAGGGGGCTTCATGCGCAGAAGGGCTTCAAACGGCCTTCATTTGCAGCACAGACACCTTATAAGTCCTCAAGTTGGAGGTCTTTTGGGGTTTAAGGTTGAGGGTTTAGGTTTAGGGCTCTTTAAACGGGATCTCAAGGGGGTCTATTGGGGCCATTGCAGTTTTTTGTGCTTGGGGATTCCTAATCGTCGAAAAGGTATCCTTAGCAGCTGAAGGAGCAAACTTTCCATTTTTTGGGACAATACCATACCGATAGAACTGAAAGTGTACCCTTCTTGGGCCTATAAACTCAGCATCTATGGAGTCCATAAACAGGATGCTGTTGCTGATTCCTTCTTAGCAGTGACCCAGTGAACCTGTAAGGGTACCAGCTGCCGGTGCGTCCGACGGCCAGCCCCGCCGTCTTCAACGTTGAGCCGTTACTCTTTGAAACCAATACCCAAAGGGTCCAAGTATCATTAAGGTACATACTTAGACCCCCAAAATACCCTATATATAAGTATACACCAGAATGATACTTGGACCGTTTGGGATAAGAAGAGCCGGGGACGCCAGCTCGCAGTCACGGACGCCGGGGACGCCAGCTAGCAGCCACGGCAAAGGGGCTCACTGGCTCTTCCTGGAGGCCACTGGGTGACCCTCCCCGAAGGGTCCTATGTACTTATATGATCAGTAGAACGTAGGGTTTTTATATTAGGAATGACGATTATGATCCAGGGAAGTATCCCCCCTAACAGTACATAGGACCCGTTGGGCTCATGACCTCTTTCAGATCACCGCGTCGACGGCTATGGGCTCGCATTTTGCGGCTTTTGCCTTAGCACTGGCCCCTGGCGATCCCCGAGATGATGGCTGTTCGGGCAAGGAAGTGCTATGGAGTTGGCTGGACCTTGAGATCCCAATACCCCTTATATAATTAAGGAATATACCTTAAATCTTAATAATAAGCACCCTATACTTTAAGGTCTATTTCTTAATTAAGGACTTAAAGCATAATATTAAGCCCCCTATACTTTAAAGGTACATTTCTTAATTAAGGGGTTTGGGGATCTCTGGGGAATCAGTGCCAGCGGAGGCTTGCAGGGCAGTTCTGGCATCGTGATGCATGGTGGACCTGAGACCTGAGGCTTAAATTCAATTAAACCTGGCTTCGGTTCGATGCCCCTAAACCGTAAGGGTCCAAGTACCTAAGAATCATACACTCTCCAAAATCCTAACCTACATAACTATTATCCTAAAAACGAGTACCTAATTATTGGGTCCTTTGGACCCTTCGGGTAAACCGTTGCTGTCGATCCCTATTGCAGTTCTGGGATAAACCAAGGTCCCGGCTCTATAATAGGGTTCCCTCCAAGGGTACTGTAGGGCGCTTTAACTCTACAATGGCGTTCCGTTTAAGGGCACTGTAGGGTTCTATCATACCTTTAAGGGTACTTGGAAGGGGGACTTAGTAAGTAGGTTATAAGTAGAGTTATAAGTACCCTAAATAGAGTTGCCCCAATTATAACCCTACTTATACCCTACTTACTTAGTCCCCTGCCAATCCAACTACTGTTGCGTTCTATATTAGGGAAGGCAGTTCAAGGATCGCTAACCCTGAGGCTGGAAATAGCCCAAAAGCCTTATACTATAAGGGAACATGGAGCCTTAGGGTAGTATGGTCTTTGGGCCCAAAAGCTTCAATATATGAGTCCTTAGTGCCTAAGGGTAAACTTAGTATAGTAAGTATGCCACGCGTAAGTGGGTTTTTCTCGAAGTTCGGGTCCCTTCTTAGATCCACCAAAATTCCCAGAGACTCCCAAACCCCTTCATTAAGGAATATACTTGGTTATAGTACGGCACCCTTATATCAAAGGACCCTAAAAGGGTTCCGAATCTAGAGAACTGCCCAATTCGTACAGTCACAATTACTTCGGTTTTCCCTGCTTCGGGGATTTGTAAGCTTTACTTACTTCTAAGCTACATGCAAAGTTCGTTTAAAGCCGAAAAGAACAGGTGAGTCGAGCAAATGGGTGAACTATGGCAGCCGCACTGTCCGCAGCGATAGCTGTCTCTCGATCGGACGCTTGTCCTCAGAGAGGCTTCCGGCTTTGCTTCGAGACCCCGTAAACCCTACCCTAAGGCTCCTACTGTTGATGATATAAATCCTCCATGACCCATAATAAGGAATCTACCATAATTCCCATAGTTTAGGGACCTTAAGGTAATGCAGGATTTATATCATCAACCGTAGGAGGGTCTTGGGCTTTCTGGGGGGAGGCTTTGGGGGCTAGGGTTCGGGATCTCACTACAAGGGTCCAGGAGCCTTAACGTAAACCTTGAACCCCTTCGCCGTTGGAGGGTCCAGAAAGTAGATGACTCAAGGGGTTTCGGACAAAGAGCCCCTTAGTACTATAAGGGGTGCAAGCTAGATGCAGCCCGTGATCTGGGTTCGGGTGTTGGTGATTCAGAGCAGCTTCCAGGTATCCTCAAACCAGTAGGTTTCCGTATGGGTTCTGCTACTTGGAGGATCATGGGACTTAGTAACTAGGTTATAAGTACCCTAATTGGAGTCATAAGTAGTTATGAGTATATTTACCGTAGTTATAACCCTAGTTACTAAGTCCCATGATCCTCCTCCAAGTATGAGGGTCGAAGTGCCCGGGTAGTGGGGTTTTAGGGTGCCGGAAGTACTATTCGCTGAAAGGCTTTGGTACCTGAAATTTTGTTATTGGAGTATGAACCTAAACCGCATGGGAATGGTTAAAGGTTGCTTGGGTTCAAGCAACAGGGCTTCAAGGCAGGAAGGTTCTCATCGAGGGGTTAGGGTTTAGGATGGTTTGGGGGGTCAGGGTGTTGTAGGGGGGCTTTATGAATCGAAGGCTTTACGGAATGTCCGACTTTTTGCAGGCTTGCGGTTTGGTCATTGGTGGTTGAGAGATTCTATCGTTGAGGCTTTAGGGTCAGGCGCAGGATTGAAGATTTCACGTGTAGGTTTGGAGCTTCAAGCTTAGGCTTTCGAGGGGCTCCCAAACCCTGATGTAGGGGCCTTAATAATTAGAGTAGGGTTTGGGGGCCCATGATACTACAGTTATAGTAAGGAGCCCTAGAAATAGTATGGGTAAGTATCAGGGCCCGTACAGTAAGCCCCAGACCCTCAACTCTGAGCTCAACCCGATGCATCCAACCCCACCCTTTCGCCTAAAACCTGCTAACCGTAAAATAGAAGCCTAAACCCGAAGGCTCCATGTACCCTTATAGTAGATACTTAGGCCTTAAAGTACCTACATAGGGACCACTTTAAGGCCTAAGTATCTACTATAAGGGTACATGGAGCCTTTGGGAAATTGTTACTGAGATTATTGTTCGGGTCCTGGTTATAATCATAGAATAAGATGCCCCAAACCTCTACTCTAAGTATTCAGGCCCGTACATTATAGAACCCTGCTACAGATCCCCGATAGACTCCTTTAAAGGAACCCCTGAAAGGAACCTTATTCTAATAATTAAGGCCCCTTCAGTATTCCAATTCCTAAACCAAAGACCTGAAGAGACTCAAGGTATGTATAGTCTCCATTGCAGTTCCTTGTGTGTCCCCAGGGTCCAAAGGACCCAATAATTAGGTACTCGGTTTTAGGATAGTAGTTATGTAGGATAGGATTTTGGAGAGTATATCATATACTGTATATGATAATACAGTACTTGGACCCTTACGGTTGGGTTTTACCAAGTTTTCCCTAAAGCCTGACCCTAAACCCTAAACCTAAAACCTAAACAAGAACCTTCGCCAGAATTATGTTCAGGATCCTGGAATGTAACGAAATGATGACCACGTTATCGGATTTGGGGTCCTTAGAAGGTAACCCAAACAAGGAACAACTATTCGATTCAGGGACCGATAAGCAAAAAAGAAAACCGAACACCCTAAACCCTGAACCTCTGGGGTTTATAGCGTTTCGGGTTCAGGGGCTTAGGGGCTTGGGGCTCAGGTGTTTCGGGGTTGAGCGGTTTAGGGGCTTAGGGTTTAGGGCTTCAGGATGTAGTGATAAGTTTGAGGTCAGGCGTTTTGGGGTGGGTGCGGGTGGACCCCCACCCGCACCCAGGCGCAAAAAAACGCACAAACAGAGACCCTAACTAGCCCCTACACCCTAAAACCCTAAGCCCTAAACCCTAAACCCTAAAGCCCTAAAACCCTAAAACCCTAAACCCTAAAACCCTAAAACCCTAAAGCCCTAAAACCCTAAAACCCTAAAACCCTAAAACCCTAAACCAAAAAGAGACCCTGAGCCAAGGATTCTTGGGAGCCGGATCAGCGGAAGAGTGTCAGTCCGGTTGTGATCGAGTGGACGACAAGGCGTGCAACACTGTGCCTTGGAGCATCTAAGGATTTATAGGGTTTAGGGTTTAGGGTTTAGGGTTTAGGGTTCAGGGTTTAGGGTTTTAGGGTTTAGGGTTCAGGGTTTAGGGTTTTAGGGTTTAGGGTTTAGGGTTTAGGGTTCAGGGTTTAGGGTTCAGGGTTTAGGGCTTTAGGGTTTTAGGGTTCAGGGTTCAGGGTTCAGGGTTTAGGGTTTTAGGGTTTAGGGGATAGGATTTAGGGTTTAGGGCTTCTTGGAGCATCTAAGGATTCACAGCAGTTTGGGGTTTAGGGTTTAGGGCTTCTTGGAGCATCCAGGGATTCACAGGGGTTTGTTTTTTTTTTGGGGGGGGATTTGTGGAGCATCTAGGGATTCACAGGGGTTTGGGTTTCTGGGGGCTGCGGGGTGGGATTTTGGATTAGCCATCAGAATCATTGCTTACTCATTTCACCCTGTGTCCGCTTAGTCTACCGGATCTCGGCTTTCCTAACTGGGGTCTCTGTCGCTTGTCGTGGATCATCCCTAAGACTCCAAGTAGCCCTACGTAGGTAGTATATATAGACTTTAGACCCCAAAGTAGGTACTATTTGTATACTTGGAGTCTTAGGGCATGGGTGGGCCGGGGTTTGTCACAACTTTGTTGCCGATCGAAGGTGTTTGTTCGGGGCATGGCGTTTTGGGCAATCCCTAAACCCTTGAAGCTCATACTATACCCCTTTTCCAGGTTACCTAACGTTCTCAACAACAGGTCTTAACTAAAGAGCTATAGGTACCCCAAATTAAAAGGGGTACGGTATGAGCCGTTAGGCAATCCCCAAACTACCAATAGGTCGGATCCCCACGCCTCCAGGACCCTAAACCCTCAACCCTTCACTGTGCCATCGTTGGGTAACATTTTACATTCTTATGGCTACTTAAACCCAATAAGGAATGAAAGTAACATTTTTTAGTATTATCCCAATCGTGAACTAGTTGAAGCCCTACCATTTCTGCAATTGGACCGGTAGGGAGGTCAAGGTCTTAGGGGTTTAGCGTTTGGGGTTTAGGTGCTTTGGTTTAATATAGGGGCCTTGATAATTGGAACAGGTTTTGGGGCCCAGTATACTATAACTTTGATAAGGAACCCTCAAAATCGTGTTGGTAACTATATTTAGGCCCTACGTTAGTGTTTAGGGTTACTGGGGTTTTAGGTTTAGGATTTAGGACTCCAGGCCAGTACTTAGACTTTTCAAACGTAGGTAAATAATGGCTCAAAACCTATAAAAGGCTGTTATTCTACATGCTTTTGGGCTCTGGGTTTTACATAGGGCTAGGTGGGGTACGACTTTATGCGTTTGTTAAGGGTTCAGGGCTCCTTTTTCAGGGTTCTCAAAGGTGAAGTGGAGGGACCCTTAATGGGGACCCCTACCCTGTAATGGGCGCTATAATGGGTATATAATGGCTATATTATGGGTATATACCTAGGGGTCCTTATTAGTGTCCCTCCTTTTCCCCTTTCAGGGTTCCTTTTAAGGGTTGCAAGATTTAGAGCCCTGGTCGCCCGAAAAGCGAAATTGAAAAGGAAAGGCTGAGGCAGAGTTTCATAGCCTAAGGCTCTAAGGACTCATTTAAAGGGACCTTAGAGGGTTCTATAAGGGGTTCTTAAGGATTCCATTAAGGGGATCTACAACCCTAAACCTTTAAGGACTCATGTATTAAGGCTTTTGGGCCTAAAGACCGTATTATGTAAGGTTGTTGGGCCATTTTGAGCCGTAGGGATTTAGGGGTTTGGGGTTTGGGGTTTAGGGGTTTAGGGGTTTAGGGGTTTAGGGGTTTAGGGGTTTAGGGGTTTAGGGGTTTAGCGGTTTAGGGGTTTAGCGGTTTAGGGGTTTAGGGGTTTAGGGGTTTAGCGGTTTAGGGGTTTAGGGGTTTAGGGGTTTAGGGGTTAGCGGTTTAGGGGTTTAGGGGCTTCTGGGTTTAGGGGTTTAGGGGTTTAGGGTTCAGGTTTCGTTTCCCTGGGTCCATGTACTAATTTTTCCGAAAATACGGGGTACCGTGTTTTGGGGATCTCAAAAATGGATCCTGCTATTTAGGGGTACTATATTAGGGTCCCAAATTTTCGCAAACTCCCATATATAGCACGTACCATTAAACTAGTCCCTCTGCACGCACTTTAAGCCAAAAGGATCTTCCTGCCGCATTCTAAGATTCTAAGCCTAACCCCAATCAGGATCATCGTCACCAGTGTCCACTGCAATCTGTTCACGACCAGCAACACTGTGGTCTGTCAGTCACCCTCACCATCGTTGTCAATGCCATGCATGTTTGCAGCATAAAATTGGCAGCTGCTTCTACGTAGGCTCGCCGTTCTGCAGAACGACAAGCAAACCTTGAATACATCCTGGTTTAATGTAGGGGCCTTGATAATTATAATCAGAATAGGGTTCTGAGGGTCCATATATACGACCATTATGGAATTAGGTCCCCAAAACCATTATGGGGATGGTCTTTCGGGACCTAATTGCATAATGGCAGTATATATGGACCCTCTGGGTAATATAACTGTAGTTGGAGGGTCGGGGGACTCAGTAACTGGTTATTTTAGGGACTTATAAGTACCATAACCCTTAGGGTCCCGTTTAGGGTACTTATAAGTCTACTTACTACCTACTTACTAAGTCCCCCGACCCTCCCCAGATATTATACTACCCTTATAATAGCCCTTATAGTGGTCCCTATAGACCCCTTTAAAGGAACCCTAGGAACCCTATAGGTAATATAACTGTAGTAAGGAGACCGAAACTTGCATCGGCAGGGCAACTTACACGCATTGCGAACCCTGGAAGCGCAGTATCCCAGAGATTGCAAAACCCCTCAATCAACGAATACACCTTAAACTATAACAGGATCCCCAGTATGACTATATTCAATATATTCCTTAATTAAGCGGTTTTGGAGTCTCTGGGAGCCGAATTATGTAATGCAGGGCACATGTAGGAACCGCAGACAATAAGCGCTACTATGTAACCGGGCTATGTCGAGTTTCTTGGCCAGACTTTTCCTTTGTTGACACCAATACTTCAAGCGCTATGTCGAGCTTCTTGCTCAGACTTTTCCTTTGTTGACACCAGTACTTCAAGCAAGTGCAACGGACTCGTACGTCCATTCTTCCTACTTGGAAGGGCAGGGGACTTAGTAAGTAGGTTATAAGTAGAGTTATAAGTACCCTAAATGGAGTTACCCCAGTTATAACCCTACTTATAACCTACTTACTAAGTCCCATGATCCTCCAAGTAACCCTCGAAGCCCGAGCCCCTTAAAAGCGGGAACAAAGTCACGGCACTGCGGCCCGATTCACCATGGCCACCCAGAGCCTCCAAAACCCCTTAATTAAGGAATATACCTTAAAGTATAGTAGGATCCATAATATGATTTAAGGTATATTCCTTAATTAAGGGGTTTTGGAGGCTCTGGCCAGTCTCCTTCTGCCAGAACTAGCAAGCAAGCCAAGACAAGACAATGAACCCAAAGGCTCCATGTACCCTTATAGTAGATACTTAGGCCTTAAAGTGGTCCCTATGTGGGTACTTTAAGGCCTAAGTATCTACTATAAGGGTGCATGGAGCCTTAAGGGAAGCTCTCCTAAACCCAAAACGCTGAACCCTCCTCCCCCTTGCACTTCAGCCTGTTAGGACCCTTACTTGGAGGATCATGGGACTTAGTAAGCAAGGTTCTAAGTACCCTAACTGGGGTTATAAGTAACTATAAGTATAGTTACCTTCTCAATAACCCCAATTTCTAAGTCCCATGATCCTCCAAGTAATCCTGAACCCCAAGCTCGCCGACGCTTGAGGCAGTCTTCGAAGAGGAAGACGGCTGGTGCAGCTTGTGGAAATGCTCCCCCTGGGACCGTCGAAGGGGTTCGCGTGGGGTTTAGGATTTAAAGGGAACTCCAGAAAGTTGGAATATGGTTTCAGGGTAGGATACCTTATAATTTACCATAAAGGGTTTAGGATAACCACATTCCAACTTTCTGACTTTTACTTTACGGTCTAGCGCCAGTTTTCAGCTGCAAGATTCAGGCTTCAATGTCGGGCTTAGGATGTAGGGCTTCAGGATTTCGGCAATTTACGCAGCAAATCCGGATCTCAATGTTGGGTTTGAGGATTTCTCGAAGTATCATTTTGGTGCCGAGTGGTTCCGGGTTTTTTAAAGTTCAGGTGTACCCATAGGCCCCATAGTAGTTCCTTCTTGGGATTACCTTATAGACTTCGAGATTCTGATATGAACCCTAAATGGATCTACTTTCGGGAAGTGGGGTAGAAGCCTAAACCTTGAAAGCCCGAAATTACCTGGCTAGGTGGTACTTTGGGAAACTGCACTTCTGACACCGCCTACAACCCTAAACCACCAAAGCCCAAACCCCGTAAGCACTAAAACCCTAAACCCCTAAACCCCTAGCCCTAAAGCATTAAGCCCTCAAACCCCTATAGCCCTAAAGCAACTACGACGCCTTAATTTGTGAAGGCACTACCCTAAACCCTAACCTTCTCTCGAAAGTTCTGCTGCATACTATCTTGTTGGTGCCTGGTCCGCGCTACGCTTCGGGCCAAGCTCAGCGCAGTAGAGGTCGGCAGAGAGTCGGTCCGGTACAGGTAAGTATGCAGTAGAAGCCCAATCCTTAAGAGTAATGTAAACGGAATCCCAGCACTATTTGGCCTTAACCCGGTTTCCAACTTTATGGGGCTTACTGTAAGCGTTGTCGGAGACGATGGCGGAGACCGCAGTATGAACTACGGCATGGAAGGTTCAGAGTTTGCAGCCATGAGGCTTCTGAAAGTCGTGAAGACAGTACAAGATCTCCGAGTGAAGAAGTGGCAGTCTATCTAGTTCATTTGACAAGTGACAGACTCACTTAAAAGGCCCTACAGTAAACCCCCCAAAGTTGGAGACCGGCTTAAAGACACGACATGGTGCTGTGATTGCCTAGACATTGCTCGTAAGGATTGCGGCTATTGGGTTTCCAACTTTCGGGCTTCTACTATAAACCCATAATCCTAGACCCTTCATAAACCCGGTAATCCTAAACTCTAAACCCCCTAAACCGAAAATCCCAATGCCCAAACCCCTAAACCCCCATGTAAACCCCGTAAACCCCAAAAACCTTTAAACCCTTGAAAAAAAAACTAAACCCTTTCCAGGACACTTTTCCACGGCAGCCGGGCAAGGTGCTGTCAATCAGGAGAGCATTTCTTCAGGCTTTGGGTTTAAGGTTTAACTACCTAGACTTTGCGTTCTTCTGGTTGGCTCTTTAGACTTCAACTTTTTGGGTTTCTATATGAACTATAATAAGAAGGCTAAAAGTTTAACTTTTAGCAGGGGTTCAGAAGTCAGCCAAGTAGAGGCTCCATAGCAATGTAGGGACTTGATTAAGAAACCTTGGGCCTTTGTTAGCCTTCCTTGTACTATATATGAATCATACGGTTTCTTAATCATGTTTCTGCATTAGTTCCTTTTTGGGGTGCGAACCCTGTAAGGTAATTCTCAAAAAGGAACTACGGTGGAGCCTATATGGGTAGGGTCAAGTCAAGCTTCGTGGTTTGGGGTTTAGGGTGTTTGGGTTTAGTATAGCAGGCTTAAGGTTTAAGGCTTAGTTGGGGTTCAGTTAAGCTTAGGGCGTTTTAGGGTTTTGGGTGTTTGGGTTCAGGGTTAGGTTTTAATTGTGGTTTAGGATTCAGGGTTTACTCAGGGTCTTTGTGTTTAGGGTTTAATTCGAGTTAAGGCTTTCCTGGACACCGCACAAGATTCCTCTTAAGGGCTGCTCCCTTTCTTGATTTCCTTTCTTAATTTCCTTATGCAAATCCTCAAAAAGGCTGGTTACTTGGGGGTTATGGAAGGGTGTAGGGTTTACGGTTGAGAGGCTTGTAGATTAAGGGTGGCGCCTGCGTGCCCCTACTGTGAATCCTAAACCCTGAACTCCACTAAGCCCTGTAGCGCTACAGGCCTTGAGTGGTGAATCAAAGGGGGCAAGGAGGGACCCTTAATAAGGACCCCTAGGTATAGACCCTGAATATAGCTCATTATATGCCCATTATGTAGCTCATTACAGGGTAGGGGTCCCCATTAAGGGTCCCTCCTTTTCCTCTTTGAGTGAAGGATCTCTCCAGAGGCCCCAACACTGTTGGCACGTTTCGGGAGCTACGGTGCACGCTTTAGAACTTAAGGTTTAACGGTTTAGGATTTAGGGTTTTGGGGTTCAGGGTACGGGTTTAGGGTTTAGGCTGGTATTATATGTGCTGAGCTCAGTGTGGCTGACAGCGCTCAATGTAGCAGTTGGAATACTTACTTGCTAAATTAGTTATTAGTGATGGCTTCTTGTTGCAGTTATATACCTGTGTGGAATCAACCCAGCTGCACGCTGTTTTGGCTTGGGCAAGCGACTTCTCTCTGAATGCTCTTTACTTTCCGAAACCCTACTGTTTTCGATACTTGGACCCAGAACCCTAAAGCCACTCGAGGACTGATGTCCCGCCGGACCTGAACATCAGTCGCTTGCCTGGCTTTCGGATATATTGCTTGGTTGGTTTTGCATTGCTGCTGTAGCCCTATTATCATATATTCTCCAAAATCCGAAGCTACATAACTACTATCCTAAAACCGAGTACCTATTTTTTGGGTCCTTCGGACCCTTGGGGTAGGGCGTTGTATGAATTTGTGGGTTTTACTTATGGGGAGGCTGCTTTACGGGACCTGCATGGCTTTAGTCTCTGTTTTATCTGCGTGCCTGGTTTGCCATGACTGGAAGCAGCGCGATGCAAGGGTCTAGGGTTCAGGCTTTTCTGGTAAAGTCTTGAACCAAAGAACCCTCAACCCAAACAGAAACCCTAAGCTCTCTCGCAAGACTACGCAGGAAAGCCCGAAACCCCTTATACACCCCATCTCCCGGAGGCACCTAAACCGTTGGTTTAGGGTTTGGGGTCCAGGGTTTAGCGGTTTAGGGGTTTAGGGCTTAGGTTACCCTAACTTCTTCACTTCCCTCTTGGTAGGCTCTCTCTCCGTGGGAGGCTTACAAGGTTCCTTGCTACAGGGGGTTAGGAGTCTAGGGTTTGGCCTAAGGCCAGGGTTTATTCATCAGGGGCCCAAAGCCTTCAAATATCCTGACCCATACTTGGAGGGTCGGGGGACTTAGTAAGTAGGTGGTAAGTAGACTTATAAGTACCATAAACAGGACCCTAATTGGTGTTATGGTACGTATAAGTCCCTAAAATAACCAGTTACTAAGTCCCCCGACCCTCCAAGTAAGCCATAAACCAACTCAGCCCAGCCCCGAAGCCCCAGTCAGAGAAATCCTAAGCCACTAAGCCCTAGATCCCGAACTCCAAAACCCTAAACCCTAAACCCTAAACCCCAAACCCTAAACCCTAAACCCTAAACCCTAAACCCTAAACCCTAAACCCTAAACCCTAAACCCTGAAAGCCTAAAGCCCCTTAGCCCTAACCCTAAGGGTCCAAGTACTAAATTATCACATACTGTCCAAAATGGCAACCTACATAACTACTATCCCAAACCCAGGTACCTAATCGCTGGGTCCTTTGGACCCTAAAGCCCGTTAGCCCTAAACCCCGAAGCCCTAAAGCCTAAACCCTAAGCCCTGAACCCCGAAGCCCTCAACGTAGAAGCAAAGGCCATAGCGACCTGGTGGCATTCGCAGGACTGCCAGACTGGGTCTCTTGGCTGGGCTGTTTAGGGTTTTAGGGTTTAGGGTCCAGGGGATATAGATGTGCCGATATAGTAAATCCGGTTCATAGGGCAGTCGACAATGAACCGATATAGGCATTTCTCTAAATTAGGGTCCCTTTCAGGGTACTCTTATTGTAAAGGTTGCCGCACTATTTGGGAGCTAAGAGGGCACCCTAATTTGGAGAACCACCCAAATAGTCAGTATAACCGTAAACCCGAAATCCTAGGCCTTAAAGTACCCATAAGGGTGGTTGTGAAAATTAGGGTCCCTTTTTGGGTACCCTAAATGAAAGGTGCCGTACTATATTAGGGAGCCAGAAAGGGACCATAATTTTGACAACCACCCATGTATAGGAAGGCCTTTCCGGCTGAAGTATATGCTGTAAGCTACATGGAACCTTCGGGCCTTCGGGTGTTCTTAAAGGCCCGGTTGCCGATAGGTTAGCACCTTGAGGGTTCAGGGAAGGGTTAGTGCCATAAACTACCATAACCTACCCCTAAACGCTAAACTCTAAAACTGAAGCCGCCACAACCTACTCTCGTGCAGGCTTTCGCCGCGAAGGAAGATCCTGCATGGCTCAGTTCACCTTGTGGCGAAGTATTAAGCTACCGTAAACGACCTGTCGGCTCATACCGCACCCTTTTTTCATTTTTAGGTACCTAGTTCTTTGCTTAGTTAAGGTCTGTTATTCAGCAAGTTAGGCAACCTAAGAATGGAGTAGGGTATGAGCCTCTAGGTAAAGCTTACCCCCTGGGTCCAAGTACTTGATACTCATACACTCCGAAATCCTAACCTAAAGAGCTACTATCCTGAAACCGAGTTTCTAATAGTCAACGCTTCGAGTCGTCCGCCTCGGCCCGGCTGTGCTTGAAGCAGGTATGTGCCAAGCAACGGAAGCACAATCAGGCTTGGCAGAACCGCAGGATGATCCCGATAGCCTCACAGGAAGGGAATCAGGTGATCGAGGCCGGCAGCCATCGAGCGGGGCTCGGCTGGGGTTGACAACCTAGACTTCGCCCAGCTCCAGCAGGTGTACCAGGCGTGGCGTTCGAAGCAGGTGACACTTGAACAGATTGCACATCTTCATGGGCACGAGATGGCCGAGCTTGTGGTCGCTCATGACTGGGTCGGTGCAGACGGGGCTGACGCTTTGGAGGTAGTGAGAGCAGGTGCAGGGGCTCGCCATCCGCTCGAAATTCAATGTGAAGGGGACCGTTCGTGCACGAGAGGTCATGATCACGATACTGGTCTTACCAATGCGAACGTTGCCGAATGTGGGAGATACTCATCCGGAGATGGAGATGGAGTCTGAGGAGGACAGGAAGCGGGGGGACGGGGGGCGAGGGTGCCCTTAGGGACAGCTCATAAGGACCCTACAAGATCGTTCATTGCGAGCCAGCAGGTTCTGGACGGTTTCTAAAGGGGTTGGTTAAGGGACTAGGGTTTTAAAGGGATCTATAAAGGTACCTTTAAGGGATCTATAAGGGTTCTAGGCTGAATCCTCTGAAGGGCTCCTGAAGCGGCTCTATGATGGATCCGGATCCTTTACAGGGATCTTGAAGAGGTCAGCTTTGATGGTGCGAAAGCGAGCAAACCGCTCGCTTCCCTGTGAACAATCAGCGACGGCTTGTAGCAGCGGGGGAATTGCACAAAGAAGGCTACGACCTCATGCGTTCAACCACGATCCCAAGGCGTATGAAAGCCGGGTTCTATGCTGTCAAGACTCCAAGGGTAAAAGGAGGGACCCTCAATGGGGACCACTAGGTATATACCCTTAATATAGCCATTATATACCCATTATATAGCCCATTATGGGGTAGGGGTCCCAATTGAGGGTTCCTCCTTTTCCCCTTTGAAAGACAGGGAAAGCGAAATGTACCACGTTACCTTTTCAGCCCACAGGATCCAAGTAAGTACCGAATAATCATCAAACGGTGGTTTCCGAAAATAGGGGACTTTAATATAGTACCCCAAATAGTAGGATCCTTATTATAAGGACCCCCTAAATAAGGTACCCCTATTTTCGTCATATACCTAGACCCTTCATCTACCCTCTATTAGACGCTAAATGCCCCTTATTTGGGACCATATACCCCTATTTGAGGGTACAAGGAGGGTCCTGGTATTCTCCAAAATCCGAACCTACATAACTACTATCCCTTATAGAACCCTTTAAAAGGAGCCCCTTCAGGAACCCTTTAAGGAACCCTAAGTCCCATGATCCTCCAAGTATGCTAAGCCTAAACCCAGGCGCTGGATCGTGCGGCTAACATCATCACCAAAGGGGCCATGGCCCGAAAGGCCGGGATTAGGGTTCAGGGTTAAGGGTTTAAGGTTTAGGGTTCGGGGTTTAGGGTTTAAGGTAGTTTAGGGTTCAGGGTTTGGGGTTCAGGGTTCAGGGTTTAGTAAGGGTGAGAGCTTGTCGGGATCAGGGTTTCGGGATTGGAGATTAGGGTTCAGGGTTTGGGGTTAAATGGGCTGGAATAGGGGCTTCTTTGGGGATTTATGCAGGTATTGTAGGGTCGGATTGATGGGATTTGATGGGATTTACAGTTTTGGGTTTTGGGCTGGGATGTAACGACATCATGAATCATGACCTCATGAACAATGATCAATGACGAGAACAGCAAGGTGTGCGCCTTTTGCGCTGCGAAGGGTTTGTCAGTTGTCATGTGTCTCTCGAGCAGGAAGGTGTTGAATACATTTGCAAAAGATACTTGGAGGATCATGGGACTTAGTCAGTAAGGTTATAAGTACCCTAATTGGAGTTGTAAATATAGTTACCTTATTCAGAACCCTAGTTACTAAGTCCCATGATCCTCGTAGACCCTAAGCCCTAAGCCCCTATAGATCCCTTATAGAACCCTTTAAAAAGGAGCACCTTTCAGGAACCCTTTAAGGAACCCTAAGTCCCGTGATCCTCCAAGTAGAGGAGCGAAAGTCGCGAATCACATGACCTGCATGGTTGCAGATGGGAACATTCCGGACCCAAAGGCTCCATGTACCCTTATAGTAGATACTTAGGCCTTAAAGGGGTCCCTATGTAGGTACTTTAAGGCCTAAGTATCTACTATAAGGGTACATGGAGCCTTAGGAAACATTCCGGACAGTCGTTTTGAAGGCAACAAACAAATCGTCAGCTCCAACCGTAAACCCTAAACTCTAAACTAAACCCTGGCTGAAGCCTAAACCCTAAAGCCCGATAAGCAAACATCCACGACCTTTACCAGCCTAAGGTATGGTTGACCCCGAGCGGGCAGGAAGCATCCCACCTTCCCACCTTCTGGGTTCTCGTTACGGGACTTAATGTACAGATTTTGAGCTACCATATCCCAGAGATTGCATACATACTACCATTATGGAATATTGTTCCTAAAGCCACAATAAGGATGGTCTTCTGGGACCTAATTCCATAATGGTAGCACACATGGAGCCTCTGGGTAACGGGGATCGAGGGTAAATAACAGGTTACGGCAAGCTTAAGTTGAATTCCTTACCAATTCTAGTTAAATATATCCCCAAAACCGCATTCTAATTATCAAGCCTACTAAGGCCCCTGTATTACCCCCGCCCCCGCCCCCCCCACCACCACCAGATTGGTCCTGGTTGCCTGACAATGTCGGCCTTTGTCCCGCAGAATACCTTTACGGAGCATGGAACAAGGACCCCGCGCCCCATCACTATTCCCAGACCTTCCAATATCCCTTGACTAAGAAGTATATCTTAAATCATAATAGGATCCTTAATTATTTAAGGTATATTCCTCAGTTAAGGGGTATTGGAAGGTCTGGGTTGCCACCAGCCCCAACGTAGGGAGGGTTGCAAGATGGAGGCGCACGGAGCATGAGGGAAATACGTTACTAGCCTCCCACCCCCGACCCAGCGCTTATCGGTCTTGCTCACAGTTTTTAACCCACCTATACCCCACTTGTCCAAGTCATACACGCTCCGACATCCGAATCTAAATAACTACTAATAATCCTGAAAGCGATTACCTAAATATTGGGTCCTTTGGATCCTTGCGATAGGAAATCCTATGCAGCCGGTGTGACAAGACATCTTGCTTTGTTTCCTGTTTCTTACGTACCCGAAGGCCAGAACGATACTAACTACAACCATGTGCTCTATAAAACTCAGTAGAACCATAGAAAAGATCCATAAACCCTGGGCATCAAAGTAGCCCAAAAGCCTTATATAGTATTGTATTTGGGCCCAAAAGCCTTAAAATATGAGTCCTTAGATCCCTAGGGTTATAGCTCCCCTTAATGGAATCCTTAAGAACCCTTTATAGATCCCTCTAAGATCCCTTTAAATGAGTCCTTAGATCCCTAGGGTAAGACATGCTAAGACTGAGAGACCGAAACCCGATTTCCCCCAAACCTGCAAAACCCTACTTGGAGGATCATGAGACCTAGTTGTTCCTTAGAGGGCTCCTTAAAGGGAGCCATAGTGTGCTTTAAAGGGGTCTATAGGGTTTAGGGTTTAGGGTACTACTTGGAGGATCAGGGGACCTAGTTGTTCCTTAAAATGTTCCTGAAGGGGCTTCTTTTAAAGGGTTCTATAAGGGATCTATAGGGTTTAGGGTTTGGGGTCTACCTGGAGGATCAGGGGACTTAGTAAGTAGGGTTATAAGTACCCTAACTGGAGTTATAGGTAACTGTAAGTATAGTTACTAAGTCCCATGATCCTCCAAGTAAACCCTAGAAGTGGTCTTCCAGTGGGTTCCACAGGCACTGCTTACAGCGATGACGAAGGTCCCCAACCTTCAGGCAACTAATTTGCACGAAGGGTTGAGGTAACCCTATACTATTGTTGAGATTTGTGGTGTTTTCTTTGGTTTCTGATGTTTCGGTAGGATTTGGGGTTAAGGGAGTAGGATGCAGTCCTTCATGTCCAATGATCGAAAACCAGGGCTGGTATAGTGGTTTGCGTTGCGCTCGTCTATCGGCAGGAATTATCAGTGTTGTTCTTTGTGTCAGGGTGAAGGTTTCCGGTTGAATGCTTTTAGATTTTGTTGGACTTTAAGAGTTGCGGCTCAGTGACTCAGAGGGTTCATGTAACAGGGTTAATGACCTTGGGTTTTGCGACTGTGGGATCTTAAGAGGTATTCGAGCTTCATGCAGCAAGTGCATAGCATTCCTTAGAGGTGTCGTATTGTGGTCCCGGAAGGCCCACATTCGTCCTTGTGGGTCTTATAGTAATATCAATCGTTGTCGCCCATTAGGACCTCCATTCTTAAAGGACCTTGTTATAAGTCTGTATGGGTAGTTGTCAAAATTATGGTCCCTTTTTTGGGTCCCCTAAATATTAGGTGCCGTACTAGAATAAGGACCCAAAATAAGGACCCTTAAGTATATACCCTTAATATAGCTATAATTTACCCATCATATAACGCCCATTATGGGGTAGGGGTCCCCATTAAGGGTCCCTCCTTTTCCCCTTTGAATATTGTTGTTTGCGGGGACCTCCTCCCTCAACTCGAACTCAGGACACGGTCTCCTATAGGGTTTAGGGTTTAGGGTTGTCAAAATGATGGTCCCTTTTTGGGTCCCTACTATAATACGGCACCTAACATTTAGGGTAATTTGAAACGCTGCGCGTCGTCCGCCTCGGCCCTGCTGTACGCGCATGCGGCGAGTGGCTACTATCTGCAGCAAGCTCTTGTAGGAAAAAAGTGGGGCGGGAGGGAAGGGGGGAGGGGGGGGGGGGGGGGGGGGGGGGGGGGGGGGGGGGGGGGGGGGGGGGGGGGGGGGGGTTATTGGGGGCGAGAATTGACCGCCGTACCTTGGAGCTCAGTGACACGTTTCCATTTTTAAGGGGGGGGGGGGGCAGTGGCCCCGATTTTTGGTGTGGGGTCACTGGGAAGGGGATTAAGAGGTGGGGAATAGAGGGAATCCGAATAGGAACCTCTGACCGCTTCGGCCGGGCCGAGGCGAATTGCCCAAAAAATAACCATAATTCTGACAACCACCGCAAAGGGGATTTCCGAAAATAGGGGACCCTAACATAGTACACCAGGATGCTTATTATAAGGACCCCAAAATACGTACCCCGTAATTTTCGGAGACTCCCATATTTAGAGACCCAATATTATTGAATTCATGTACATCCCCAGAACAAACGTCAGACAAAGCCCCGCTTGAACGGTGGAAGTCGCCACAATCGCTTCACAACTATGAGCCCTGAACACTATCTTTCAGGGTCCAAGTACCTCATTATCATATACTCTCCAAAATCCTACCCTGCATAACTGCTATCCCAAATCCGAGTACCTAATTATGGGGTCCTTTGGACCCTTGGAGCACCCTTACTAAAGAACCCTTAACGGGACCCTGATAGTATCCTTATAGAACTC